ATGGAAAATGGTACCGACCATGATAAAGTGTCCATTCCTTGATTAACAACGATCAAAATTGGGTTATGTTGTGATGATGAATCACTCCAAGCTTTGATGGAGTAAGGATTGGAGGTGTTTTCAGGGTGCCAAAAAAGCAAATACTCGATGGTGTTATTCAAAGTGAATTCCATTACTTGTGATACAATCCCAAATTTTGGTACCACAACCACGTTGGGTTCTAAACATAAGACCAGAGGCACAATTGCCACCAAAAAACATGTTCTTACCATGGTTGCGCTTTTTACACTAGTGTATGCACCTATGTACCAATACGTACTTTATCTTATTGATAAAATGTAAACGGTTAAAAAATAAATAGTGCAATCAAAAATGTGCAATTTTGTTTTTTAGTTTCCTATTTTAAAAAATTGTTTCATTTTAAAGCCATTTTGTTTTTTAATTTATCATCAATAAAACATTTTCGTTTAAAAAAATTAAAGAAAATCATGAAATGAAATAATTTTCTAAATACTTATTTCATCAGTACTAAAAAGGAAAATTTGATTGTGTTGTAGCTTTATGAGTTTAAAACCTAAAATTTAAATTTTTCACAAAAAGAGATCGCTTTTTTTATTTTTATTCTTCCTAATATTAGTAATCATAATTTAATTTTACTATTTGTATAAGATAACATTCAATACAATAAAACAGATTACAAAAGTCAACAATAAGTCATTTCCTCTTCCTGTGGCTCACCCAGTATACCTACATATAAAACTAAAAGGCACATTTTAAAAAATATGTTGTACCTAACATTTTTTATATTTTTCTGGTTTTTGTTATATACAGAGTGTATAAAATTTTATAGGTTTAATTAAATTATTTAAATTTGGCATCGTAGTTATTTAGCTTTGACGCTAAATTAAAAAAAACACCCCTTATATTTAAAAACAAAAACAAAAAAATATTTTTTATTTAACAATCACAAGATTTTTAACAAATTTTGATTGTAAGTACTTTTTTCTTTTAGTTCGCTGGAATTCTTGTTTATTTCGTAGAAGAATATTTTTCTGTTATTTTAAGTAGAAGATATTGGGATTTTCATGATTTGTAACAACGTAGGCAATAATAATAAAAAAATTCAATTTCTATTTTTTTAAGAAAATATTTTGCATGTATTATTTTTTAATTATTTCCTTAATCGCTGTTGCCTGTCATTTTTGTTACTATTATTTGCAATTTTTCAGTACCTCACCCCTTAACATTAAATCTTTTCCTTGCAAATTATTTAAAAACTGTGTTGAAAATTTTTTTGGTAAAAAACGCATTTTACTCCTTTGAGGAATTTTTAGCTTATATTCTTACCTTGCATAAAATATTATTATTGTCTGTTTTTTTTTTCAAAACCGACAATTTTCATAAACAATGTAAAATTTGTGTTTTTCGATGCGACTTTGTAAGTTGTAAATCATAATAATAATTAACCATAAATAACTGTTGTTTAAGGTTATTAAAAAAATGCTACAATACAGAGTGATTCATTTATACGAAATGGTCGAGGAAGTGAGCATTTCTGACTCACTTTGTATTAATAAAATTCAAGAGCCCCTTTTTAGTACAATCGCAACGTAGGCGCGCTAATGGAATACAAGAATTTCCTGTAATTAGATTCAGGATAAAATCGTCAGTCATGCTGAAAAACACTTTTAGGAATTGGGAACACGTTATTAATAATAAATCCAACTAATAATATTAATAATCTCCTTTAATTCGTCCTCATGTTTCCTGTAAATGAATGAAAACTCTTGATAAATCAGGAATTTATTGAAAAAATGCAACGGAAGGTTCCACAACAATTCATCCATATGTCAAAACATGTAAAACCACAAACGCATGAAGAAATCGCAGATTAGGAAAGAATTTGCCTGAAAAAGCCCTAAAAATAACCCTTGATCCTTTTTATCAGAAAATAGGGAAAAGTAGATAAAACGAGGTACAAATAGGGAATTTTCGGGCCTCGAAGCCAGACCTTTGCTGAAAGTGCGAAAAGGTGAGTCTACCATGCGTTTTGTGATTTTTCTGTTATTGTGGGGGGTGGCGTGTGCTTTTACAGCCCCTTGCCCCACAAATGGGGTAAGTTAGTGCAATTTTCGCGACTTTTTTCACTATAAATTTCAGGAAAATTGCCATTTTTCCCTGAAACGGGACAAACCGATGTCGTCCTTGAACATTCTGTGTAAAAGCAAAAGAACTGCGTATTTGACCGAGGCCCTCTTCGAGATGTGTAATTCTCCTTTCCGTGTGCGAAAATTGTAATTGTTGTCCAAATAAACTCTTGTTYCCAMTTCTTGTTATTTCTAATGGTTTGCAAACAGTGCGACAGACTCGATCGGGGCTATAAATAGGGGAAAATTGTGCGTTTGTTTCAGTCTCTGATTGGTTTTCCTGCTTTCCAGGTTGCGAAAATGTGCGCTAATTGGGGAAATGTTGTGCTGTTGACTGTGGTGTTTTTCCACGCGGTTAATGCTTTCCCTTCAAGACCAGACGAACGCAATCTTGCGAATAATGAGGTAAATAGGGTGGTGGATGAGGGGGTGGTTTATGTAAGGGTTGCAGAAGTATCGGCTGTTGAAGGAGCTTTTGCCGGCGTTGCGGGAGATGGCAGCCGAGGATAAGTTCCAGGAGGAGAAGAGGAACAATCAGGAGATTATGACGGCCTTCGGGAATATGAAGGAGTTGACGGATATTCTAAGATCGGGATAATTGACAATGGGATTATTTGGATGTGAATAAATGATTGAATTGAAGGGCTTTACTCGTTTTATTCATTTCCCATCTAAGTATTAAAATTTAAAAAATGCAAATTTAAAAATAAACTGATTTCCTTAAAAAAATGTTCGGTTTTGCTACCCTTTTAGAGGTTTTTAAATTTAAAATCTCTTTCAGGTTGACCAAGATATTTCACTGAATTTTTCAGGACTTTTTTTTTTCGATTTTCTAACATTTATATTCAGGTTCGCGTTTTTGAAGTTTTGGAGATTTTCAATCAAGGTTTATTGCTTATTTTTTTATACTTTAAATACGTTTTATCTTTTTTTTCCATTTCATTTTATTTTTAGATTTAGTAAACCTTTATTCAAGCTTGCAGTTTTTATAATTGGGAATTTCTTGATTTTTGAGATTTTGTTTGGGTTTTTGATTTTGATTTTATACTTATCCCTAAATCAGTTAATGTTTTTTTGAATTTTTTGAATTCACTATTTTTACTTTTCTTGTATTTGTTTTTTTAATTTTTTCAATATCTTTGATTTCAGTCACCTTGAAAACTCTGACAATTTTCAAATTATATCAGTTAGTTCCTCTAAGATCTCTAGGTAGTTTTCGAGTAGGTACTTATTAAATTGCAATTATTTTCCGATTTTTTCAGATATAAATCAGTTTTGGTTCGCAATTTTTAACTTTTTAAAGTACATAGTAAGTATTACGTAAAGAATTGAGAAACCTAAGTTAAAAAAATGCAGAAAAAAATGTTGTTGAATGATATACTGAAAAATAATAAGTTGATTTTACTAAAAAAAGGTTCGGTTCTGCCATATATCCTTTTCTTAAGTTTAAATTTTACGAATTCCTGAGTCGACTGATTTTTTTCAGGATTTAGAATTTGGTTTCCAATTTTTTTTAAATTTATTCAGCGAGTTTTTCAGGTTTGAGTTTTTAAAGTATGTTTAGCAGTGATTATTTTTCAGACCACTTTTGGAATTCTTCTGTTTCTGTTGGGAGTTTTTGGTTTCCATGTTTAAATTGACTTATCTAATCGTCAACTTCCTAAATTTCAATTTTTTTCTTAGAACTAGATTTTTAGATTTTAATATCCTTTGTTTTAATTTATCTATTTTTTTATAATTACAAATTTAATATCTTTGAATTTTTGACAATTTTCGAATTTTTAGTTTTAATGTCTCTAAGATCTCTTAAGTTTTCAAATAGTTTTTTTTTTATTTTTCTATTTTTAAATTACGACTCGTTTAAGTTTTTTAGATTTTTTCAGATTTTAGTCATTTTACTTACAGATTTTTCGCTAAGGAATTCCTGTATTTGGAATTCACAATAATAATTATTAATTTTTTTCTAAGATTTATTGATTTTTTGCGAAATCTCTTGTCTTTTCTAATATTTGCATGCCTGCATTTATAAAAAAATATTTTGTCTTAAGTTTAAATTTTACGAGTTTCTGAGTTGAGTGATTTTTTCAGAATTTAGAATTTTGCTTCCGATTTTTTTAAATYTATTCAGCGAGTTTTTCAGGTTTGAGTTTTTAAAGTGTGTTTAGCAGTGATGATTTTATATTATTTTTCACACCACTTTCGGAATTTCTGTTTTTGTTGGAGTTTTTAGATTTCCTAGTTTAAATTTACTTACTTACCTATTCGTAAACTTTCTAAATTTTTCAGTTTTTTCTTATACCTAGATTTCTAGGTTTTCACATTATTATTTTTTTTGATTTTATCTATTTTTTTATAAGATTACATATTTAATATCTTTGAATTTCTGACAATTTTCGAATTTTTAGGTTTGATTTCTCCAAGATCTTTTAGGTTTTTTTATTTTTAAATCACGACTCGTTTAAGTTTTTTAGATTGGTTTAGATTTTAATCATTTAACTTACAGATTTTTAGTTCTTAAAAGTCTATCCTGTATTTGTAATTCAAAATAATTATTATTACATTTGTTTCTAAGATTTATTGATTTTTTGTGAAATCTATTTTCTTTTAGTTTCTAAAATTTACCTATGCCATTTATAAAAAAAATATTTTTTCTTAAGTTTAAAATTTTACGAGTTTCTGAGGACTTATATTTTCAGAATTTAGAATTTTGCTTCCGATTTTTTTAAATCTATTCAGCGAGTTTTTCAGGTTTGAGTTTTTAAAGTGTGTTTAGCAGTGATGATTTTATATTATTTTTCACACCACTTTCGGAATTTCTGTTTTTGTTGGAGTTTTTAGATTTTCATGTTTAAAACTTACCTAATCGTAAACTTTCTAAATTTTTTCTTATACCTAGATTTTTACGTTTCAACATTTTTTTTTATTAAATACATATTTAATATCATTAAATTACTGACAATTTTCGAATTTTCAGGTTTGATTTCTCTAAGATCTTTTACGTTTTCGAGTAGGTAGTTATTTTTTCTATTTTTAAATTACGACTCGTTCAAGTTTTTTAGATTTTAGTCAGTGTTACTTTCAGATTTTTAACTCTTAAAAGTAAAGTATTTCTGTATTTGGAATTCAAAATAATTAGTATTAAATTTTTTTCTATGATTTATTGATATTTTGCAAAATCTCTTGTCTTCTAGTTTCTCAAATTTGTATGCCTGCATTTATTTATTTTTTGTTAATTTTTACTTTTTTTATGACTACATTAGTGCGTTTTTTATTTTGTTTCATAATTGTTTTTTATTTCACTCACCCTAAAATGTACATTAAATGGAAAGGATATGAAATAAAACACTCGAGATAACAAGGACTGTCTTTATTCGTACACCGGATGAAGTACCTGTTTAAAAATATACAGAGGATAACAATGAAAAAATAAATCGAAAGCACAATAATAAATAAGTAAAACTGTATTGTTACTATTTAATTTAATCGTTTATACAACATTAGAGATGCAAAAGCCCACTAGACGCCGCATGTGCCATTAAGGTATTAGCAGCTTGTTGTGTCTCTAACAAAATCCTTGTTTCATTCATCCATTGCCGGGCTATAGACCTTGGCGCCCCTTGTAACAAGTTCATATATTTAAGCGTTTGAGCGAAATCGCCACGATCTAACCAATATCTGCGACAAAAAATTAAACAATTACCCTCCCTCACCCTATCTCACCCTCACCTAGCCCTTTGTAAAATCTCATTCGTGCTCAGTTGACTAAAATCGACTGCCTCATCGTTGAGCTCTGCCTGTGGTATAGGACTAGGATTTTTAATAAGGAAAAACGCCTGGATATACGACAAAATATGCAACGGCAAAGCTCCGCCCTCTTCGGGCACCAGCGCCACCCTCCTGGCCACATCCTCCACTTTGAGGAACCGCTCCCGAAGGGCATCCTCCGGAAACACTCCGCGCTCTTTCGCCTCCTTTGGAATGCCGTTAATAACCGCCTCCACCAGCTCATCACCCTTCGCCGCAGCCTTCTGCACTAGAGTTATCTCAGGACTTAACGGCCTCAACTGGTCCTTCCAGGGAATCCCCGGACATCCACTCTTAATCGCCCTCAACAACGCCTGACATGCCGCCCACAACACCTGCGACTGTTTGGCGGCCTTATCTGCAGCATCGCGCGCTGTAACAAAACATCATTTTTCACAATTTTTAACTTTTTAAAATACATAGTAAGTATTAAGTAAAGAATTGAGAAACCTAAATTAATGCAGTGAAGTAATTTGCGTTTTCAGATTTCAGATTTTTTAAGGTTATTGCCTATTTTTTTTATACTTTAAATACGTTTTATCTTTTTTTTCCATTGCATTTTATTTTTAGGTTTAGTAAACCTTTATTCAAGCTTGCAGTTTTATAATTGGGAATATCTTGATTTTTGAGATTTGTAGGGACTTTTTTTTTTAATTTTACAGTTATCCGTAGTTTTTTTAAATTTTTTGAATATCTTCGATTTCAGTCACCTTGAAAACTCTGACAATTTTCAAATTATATCATTTAGTTCCTCTTAGATTTTTAGGTAGTTTTAGTAGGTACTTATTAAATTGCAATTATTTTCCGATTTTTTCAGATATAAATCAGTTTTGGTTCACAATTTTTAAAAATACATAGTAAGTATTAAGTAAAAAATCGAGAAACCTAAGTTAAAAAAATTCAGAAAAAAATGTTGTCGAAAGATATACTGAAAAATAATAAGTTGATTTTACTAAAAAAGGTTCGGTTCTGCCATATATCCTTTTCTTAAATTTAAATTTTACGAATTCCTGAGTCGACTGATTTTTTTCAGGAATTAGAATTTGGCTTATAATTTTTTAAAATTTAGTCAGCGAGTTTTTCAGGTTTGAGTTTTTAAAGTGATGATTTTAAATTATTTTTTAGACCACTTTCGGAATTTTTCTGTTTTTGTTGGAGTTTTTAGGTTTTCATGTTTAAATTTACTTACCTATTCGCAAACTTTCTTTCGGTTTTAATATCTTTTTTTTTTATTTCACCTATTTTTTTATAATTACAAATTTAATATCTTTTAATTTCTGACAATTTTCGAATTGTTAGGTTTAATTTCTCTAAGATCTCTTAGGTTTTCGACTGTTTTTTTTTTTTTTTTGTATTTTTAAATTACGACTACGACTTGATTTTTTGCGAAATTTTTAGGTTTTCACATTATTTTTTTTTTTTCATTTCATCTATTCTTTATATGATTACATATTTAATATCTTTGAATTTCTGACAATTTTCAATTTTTAGGTTTGATTTCTTTAAGATCTTTTAGGCGTTATCTGCAGCATCGCGCGCTGTAACAAAACATAATTTTTCGCAATATTTAACTTTTCAAAATACATAGTAAGTATTAAGTAAAGAAATGAGAAACCTAAGTTAAAAAAATGCAGTAAAAAATGTTGTCGAAAGATTTACTGAAAAATAATAATAAGTTGATTTTACGAAAAAAAGGTTCGGTTCTGCCATATATCCTTTTCTTAAGTTTAAATTTTACGAATTCCTGAGTCGACTGATTTTTTTCAGGAATTATTCAGCCAGTCTTTCAGGTTTGGATTTTTAAAGTACGTTTAGCAGTGATTAATTTTCAGACCACTTTTGGAATTTTTCTGTTTCTATGTTTAAATTTACTTATCTTATCGTAAACTTCCTAAATTTTTCAATTTTTTTCTTAGACCCAGATTTGTAGGTTTTAATATCCTTTGTTTTAATTCATCAATTTTTTTATAATTACAAATTTAATATCTTTGAATTTTTGACAATTTTCGAATTTTTAGGTTTAATTTCTCTAAGATCTCTTAAGTTTTGATTTCTCTATTTTTAAATTACGACTCGTTTAAGTTTTTCAGATTTTTTCAGATTTTAGTCATTTTACTTACAGATTTAGCTCTTAAAGGTCTAAGGAATTCCTGTATTTGGAATTCAAAATAATTATTATATTATTATTAATTTTTTTTCTAAGATTTATTGATTTTTGCAAATTTTTTTGTCTTCTAGTTTCTAAAATTTGTATGCCTGCATTTACAAAAAAAAATTCTTAAGTTTAAATTTTACAAATTTCTGAGTTCTGATTTTTTCAGGATTTAGAATTTTGCTTCCGATTTTTTAAAATTTATTCAACGAGTTTTTCAGGTTTGTGTTTTTAAAGTGTGTTTAGCACTGATGATTTTAAATTATTTTTTGACCACTTTCGGAATTTTTCTGTTTCTGTTGGAGTTTTTAGGTTTTCATGTTTAAATTTACTTACCTATTCGTGAACATTCTAAATTTTTCAATTTTTTCTTATGCCTAGATTTTTAGGTTTTAATATCATTTTTTTATTTCATCTATTTTTTTATAATTACAAATTTAATTTCTTTGAATTTCTGACAATTTTCGAATTTATAGGTTTACTTTCTCTAAGATCTCTTATTAGGTTTTCGAGTTTTTTTTTTACTTTTGTATTTTTAAATTACGACTCGTTTAAACTTGTTAGATTTTTTCAGATTTTAGTAATTTTATTCGAAAATTTGGAATTCAAAATAATTATTATTTAATTTTTTTCTAAGATTTATTGATTTTTGCAAAATTTCTAACCTAAAAACCAAACTAACCTTTAAAAGCATGGTCGAGACCCTTCATTCGGCCCACCATCGCCGCCAACTGCGATTTATGTTTAAACCGCTCTTTTTCAAGCTCTTCGTCGAATTTTCGGGACAGTGCTCTTTCGATCTCAAGCGCACGTGTGGTCACGGCTTCATCCAAGTGGTCGGCAAAAACTTGCGATTGACGTTTGAGTTGTTCGCGTAATTCGTGCTCAGCCTCTTTTCGCAACTTGAGACACTGCAAAAAACAAACAATTGTGACAATTTTTGCGAGAAAAAAACAAGTTTTGTAGCCTTTGTTACGTAAAATGCAACATAGCTGGACCATGTCGATCAAATCGTGGTCAGATAATAACCTGTTTTTGAAAACACTGCGTCAATTTCCGCTTCTCCTCCTCGATCGCTTCGCAAATTTGGGCCTTCCCGAGGGCTTCGTAGCCTCCTCGTCGTGCCGCGTCCAACGCCGACTGCAATTTCTCATGAGCTACCGTTTCCAGTTTTGCCAACTCTTTTTGGTAATACAAAACGACCGAATACGCGTGTAAAATAAACAAATCCAAGTCGGCCTCGTTCACTTCCAACTTCTTATTGTAGATATCGATTGCGGGAAATAGCGATTCCAACTCTTCGCAAAAATGATGTCGCGCTTTTTGGACTTTTTCCCAGTATTTATCGGTGATACTCCCCATTTTCCTCTCGATTTCGTATTGCGACTTCGCCATGTCGATGTCCTCTTGGACTTTTTCGATGTTAATATTGACCATTTCCTTGGTGGCTGCGGAGGTTTGAGACAGGAGAGTCCTCAATTTGGCGACGTTTTGGGCCGCTTGGACTGCCTTCTCCTCGGCCAATCGCACCGACTCGTTTTTCGCCTTGGTTTTGGCCTTAAGAGCCTCCCATTGTGGGGGCTTCACCTGGTCCACGGACTGGTCCAAAATCTGCCCAATTTCCTGGTTATAAACCCTTAGATCGTAGACAGCCTTGTTGTAAAAATTGACAGCTTCGGTGGCAGCCTCGCAGATCTTGCCCTCGAGTTCGGCCAGGTTGCTGGGATGCGCCTCGGGCACGGAGACCTCGCCGGGGGGCACCTTGGCCTCGCCACCTACCCCAAATACACAAATTAGCCCCGTGAACAAACCAATCAGCGAAGAGTCAATTAGTACCGATTTCGACATCGCTCTTGTCCTTTTGCTCGATCCTGATCTCCGTGTACCCCTCTTGGGGGAGCTTGGTGTCTTCGAGGGCCGGTATCACGGGCTGGGGGGCTGTCGGAGGCGGGGTTAGTCACACAAAGGGTGCGTTAGTCGGCTTACCTTTGTACTGTTTCTGCTCGAGTTTAATATCTTCCTTTTTCTTGCGCTGCTCTTGCGAGAGGAGCCCCGAGACTGATTTTTTCATGTCTTCGTAGACCCCCGAGGCCGAGTCGAGGAGGCTGTGTTCTTCTTGGAACACAAACTTGATTATGTCGTCGGTCCAGGGGACGTACTCGACTAAAGTCTTGCGGAAGTCAGGGTCGTATTTAGCGTAACCGATTGTGGCACCACCGACCAAAGCGAGTGCCCCCAAGGTGTACAGGGCACCGGAACTGGACTTGTCTTTCCGTTTGGGGGGCGGAGGGGGACACACGTCTTTCGAGTAACATCGCACACTCTTATACAATTTGAACTCCAAAATTCGACGGGATTTCTGCAAGAAACAAGGGGCCAAAATTACGTAAAGTCACGAGATGACATAACCACTCGGATTAGTTTTCTGACTAGGGGGGCTTACCGTTTGTAGATTTTTCGACGGGAGCCTTCCTACAATTCTTAACATCTTCTGGGGCAGCCACTTTGGGAGCGGTTTTAGCAAAATCAGACAACACAAAAATACTCCTTGCAGTTAGCTTGACAGTGCAGACATCACTCGAATTATCAATGTTGAGAGTCCTCAATTCGGGTAAGTGGCCACAAAAACGCCCCTAATTCAACCAAGACTCTCATAAAACACACAATTACGCCGAACCAGACCCCTAATTACCAATTTAACACGATTTTTATTGTTTTTAGTTGTGAATTTTGAGGTTAAGTGATGCGGTATTTTTTAAGTTGTCGACGCAATAAATTCCCTAAAAACTTCTCTCCCCGTCTTTGTCGCACTCATTAGTTACGTAACGTCTGACAACTTGACGGAACAAAAACCCCAATTTGAAATTGGGAAAATTATGTTGAAATTTTTAATTCCAGTTGTACGGTTCGTTACTAGGGCCCCACGGGTCCAAAATGTGCCAACACTACCACTTGTGCGCAACTTTACATCGGTTATCCCCCCGACGATTGCAGCCCCAAAACCTAACCTCTTATCCAACCCCCAGCTCCTCCAAATCAGCAGTAATATAATTTCCCGTAACTTAATCAAATTCTCCCTTAATAAGGGGCGTCGCAAGTCGGTCAAAGCAGTCAGACGGAGGTTTTACCGGTTGCATTGGGGGGCCTGGATCAGGACAATGTGCGGTCGCCATAAAAAACTCTGGAAGAAAAGTGGGGCTAACAAACGGCGTTTGAGACAACACGTCATGTGTAACGCCACTCAGAGTTACCTTTTGGATAAAATGGCAGGGCGGTATTGGACCAAAAGACGGTATTACGTTGATGACCCCTATGAGCCCTACCACACACGTGAGGAGTTCCCTCTTAGTGCACAAAAACCGAAGGTTTTTGTGCCCCCAAGTGGCACAGTACCGTATTGTTAGTTAAATAAATCAGATAGTTTGTAATAAAAAATTTATTGAATTGTGTTTCTCATTCTGCCGATTCCTTCAATTTCGCTTTCGAGGATGTCGTCCTTGTGGAGGAATTCAGGGGGGTTGCGGTGCATGCCGACCCCGGCTGGGGTCCCCGTTAGGATCACGTCGCCGGGGTAGAGGGTGACAATCCTGTGGAAAACGTAAAAAAAAAGAGAAAAAATGGATTTGACACTCACTGTGACAAATACGAGACGAGAAAATCGACTTTGAAGATCATTTCTTTCGTATTTCCGCTCTGTTTTAATTTTCCATTGACCCAACTTTTGATGTTTAAGTTGTTGGGGTCGAGTTTATTTTTCGTGACGACTGCTGGCCCCAGGGGGCAGAAAGTGTCCATACTCTTCCCGAGGAGGAACTGGCCGTTGTTCCGCGTCTTCTGCCAGTCTCGGGCGCTTATATCTTGGGCCACTGTGTAGCCGAAGATGTAGTCGTGGGCTTGGTCGCTGCGGATGGCTTTGGCCTTGCGGCCTATCACCACCGCGAGTTCCACTTCCCAGTCGACGCTCTTGAATTTTTTTATTAGAAAATTTGGCAGTTTGGGGGCTACTCACGTTGCTTATTTTGGGCAGTTGGATGGTGTCGTAGGGCCCCACGATGCATGAGGAGAATTTACTGAAAAACATGGGTTCGCGGGGATGGGGGATGTTTTGTTCGTCGCAATGACCGGAGTAGTTGAGGCCCACGCAAGCCACCTTGTCCGGTTTGATGATCGGGGGGAGGAGGTCCACGTTTTTGAGGGGGATGACCGACTTGCCAGAAGCGATTATCCTGGTGGAAAAATTTAAATAAAAATTGCAAAAAATAATGTTAATTTTTTATTTCACACTTCGTTACCCAAAAGTTTCACATCAAATATTTGAAATTAAATAATTTTTCAAAAAAAATATTTTGAAAATGTGAAATGTTATGCAACCAACATTACACAGTTGACAATTCACCGAGTATTTCGTTGACTTTAGTTCGATTTTGAATAATGACATATGAGTTCCAAAAAGCGTTTGTGGACTTTTTTAGGGCCAACACAAACACCCTTTTTAGAAAAAATTATATTAAATAAAAAATAAATTTGAAATGTTATGCAGCCAATATTACACAAGTGCACATTGCACAGACGATTTCGTTCACTTTACGGTCAATTTAATTTTGAATAATAACATACGAGTTCTAAAAAGTACTTCTTTACAAATTATTTTAAGAATAATCTAATCAACGTGTTCATAAAAATATTTTTTATAAATAAATGTTTTGAAATCTTATGCAACCAACATAACCTTCGTGACTATTTTGCTCGCTTTATGGTCGATTTTATAATTCTGAAAAGTACTTCTTTACGGACTACTTCAGGAAAAACTTAATCAAGTTTTTCACAAAAATATAAAAAAAAACAGTTTAAAATACAATAAATGTGTTTTACCTAATATTGTTATTCCAATTCACTAAAAGATAAACATTTTTTTATTTAATTCTCTAAACATTGTTTTAATAATTGCTGCAATTAAAACAAGTTAACTTGTTGATCATTTTATTTTCATTACCCATTGTGTCACTAATTTTTATTTCAAATTAATTGGCGTTCAAGAAACACAAATAAAAAATATATAAGCAGAAAAATAAGAATTTCTTTATCAATTTTTATTGATAATCTTGGGATATTGCATGTCTGCTGGTATCAAAATACAAAACGTTACTTAACTGGCCTTGAAAAATATAGTTGCGTGACCAATAATGTTGTAAATGGATAATTACAACAATTTCGAGTAGATATTTATAAAAAAATAAACAAAATTATTTGTAAAATACAGTGGTGAATACGGAACTTTGGACGATTTGTCATTCGACTGACATAAAAATGTAAAACGGGCCTTAGGCGACTAACCTCACTTTCGGTTTTTGTCAATTTTACAGCTAGAGAAAAAATGACAAGAAATCAAAATAATTTATTGAACTTAAAAAAATATAAATTTCAACTAAAACTTTCAAATTTTAGTTTCAAACGTCAATCATAATCACAATAAAGCGTGGCTTACATTGACATTTTTTGAACTGTCATTAATTTGATGTCCAAAATTCTGTGTCCGCCAGTGTATGTATTAGAGATTCGTTTCGTTTCAAAAACTATCTTCATTAAAAGCAAATCAGAGTTTTTCATAAAACAAAAAGTAGTTTTTAATAAAGAAAATTCTCCAAATTGTGTCAACAGCAAATAAAATGGGATTTTCATTAATTTTTTTACTTTGACAGATGTAATTTTAGTCACATCCGAATATAATTATTGACAACGTATATATCTCTTGTCAATTACTAGATTGTCATTATGTTATACTTATTTCTGCAATTTTTTAACAATATTTCAAGGATTGTGGAGACATTTACGAGTCAAAGTTTATTAACAAAAACATTTTTATTCAGAATTGTGACGAAAAATTAATATTTATGACAGCACTAGACACCAGATGTCATTATTATGGTCGAATTGTTATCAAAAATTTGTTTACCTCGATGGCCTTGGAAAATATTAATCGACATGTCACGGATAATTTACGATAGATTTATAGGATTTATTGTCAGAACTTATCACCACAATTACGCCAAATAAATTAGATTTATTAATAAAATTAATAAAACAAATTGAAATAAAAAAACGACAGGTACCTATTTATAATTTCAAATATTATGTTGGATAAAATGCGACTTAATAATCATAATCCGTATGTAAACGATACACTGGAAGTGGCGGATTATGAAACAGCGATAAATGAAACATGTTTTTTTAATTTGTTCATTTAACGCCCTGATTGGTCCGGGGAAAAACAAATAAAATCACCCCTTTTATCAGATTATCGATCAGACACTCTAACCTAATTATCTCCCAAGTGCGGTAAACAAACAGTTATTATGCAAAGTTGTTCACCTTTTGGCCCTCTCGTAGACGTCATCGCCGGTGGCTAAGAACTTAGTCAGGGTGTTGGGTATGGAGTGGTCCACGTTGCTGATGTCGAAGATGTCCCCATCTTGGGTGATCTGCCCCCCTAAATGGGGCAAACCGCCGGTTTTGAGCCGGTATTGCACAAATCTCATCTCGTTTCGACTCGAAACACTCAACTTTCTTATCGCATGTTGAGATTTATTACAAATAAGTAATCTCGAGGTGTTGAAGAGCTGTAAGATCGTCGTTGTTGAGCACATTTTTCGCGACTGATAAGAATAAACGATAAGAAGGGAAAGACACCCAAATGGGTATCAACGCTGAGGTAAACTGACGCTGAGGGACCTCAGAACCGGTTGAAGTATTTTCGACTCGGAGAAAGTCAATTTATTGTTTATTATCATTCAGTGCCGTTTAGAGGGAGAAAAGTGGAATGAATGCATTGCGTGTGACCTTGAATACCGTTTTGATTACAGAAATTTTTGGAAAAATGTTTTGAAAGTGAAATTTGGCGACATCAAGTTGGCGGGGAGTGTAACTGGTGGGTTTGTGTCCCTGGTGAGTAAGCACGGGTTCAGCTAATGGCTAACAGGTGGCGCACGAATGAAATCAGTCATTTTAAATCAACATTAAATTAAATGCACAGTATATGTATACAGGAAGTTCCAAAAGTCTGGAAACGATGTTATTCTGGCGAAACTATCAAATTTTTTGGCAAATAAATTTATAAGTGAGCAATGGCTCTAAAAACGCTATTCAAAAAAAATTTGAATATTAATTATATGTTTATACTTACGAGATAAACATAGTAACTTTTTTTTTTTAATGGAAACCTACGACAATTTTTTTTTAGACAACTAGTTTGTTACAAGAATTATTGCTGTGCAATTTTTTTTTGTAAACCTCACACTTTTTTCTTAAAAAAATGTTTGACTTACAAGAATTCAAGAATTTTTTTGGAGTAAACTACCAGTTTTTGTTGAAAATAAATTAATAAATGTTTAAAGGTTGCCAAAAAAATTTTTATTTTAATTAATTGTTTAAACTTTTGAGATTATGATACTAATAATTTATTT